ACGGCAAAATAAGTGCGGCGCCTACATATATGCAATATGTTGCGTTCATAGGGGTGTAAATATCATATTTTGTAACATGACACTTTCACACTTTCGCTAATTTAAAGCATACAAAACGGCGTGTACACGTCAACTCAAGCTAAAACGAACCGGCAATAAGCAGGCAGTTGACCGGTTTATTTGATGACTGCCGCCTGTGGTGCTGCTACAGCGGCACCTAGGTACCTGGTATGGAATTCGTGACTGCTGCTCTTTGTCACACAAAATGTGACGCGCATTTGCGATAAACATAGCAGAAACATGCATGCATATTCACACACAAATGCTGCCACGGCTACTTGTATGACGTAATTAAAGTCGTTGAAGGTGTTGCCGTTGCAAGCATGCTTTGCGCCGCGCTTTCAGTTGACAGGCACAGCAGCGAATATTTCAGCCTTCGTCATATAAAGTTACACATATGAGGTAAATAATTGTCGGCGAAAAAATTGGAGCATACAGTCAGGCGCCAAATGTGAAAATAGCAAACACACAGGCACGCTTATGTTGCAACACCGGGCGTTGTGTGCAACATGCAATCAGCGCTGGAAATAGGCGTAAATGTTGCAAAGTGTGATTTATCACCTCTTTGATATTGCCGTTGTGGTGTTGTTGTTACCAAGTTATTTTGTACTTTGTAGTTGCATGCGATTAAAACATTTTGTAATTGAAAAATGTCATTTTTATGCAGATATTGCGCAAATAGTTGACGCAATATCATTTTATATTCAAGGCGTAATGTAAATATAGAAAATTACTAATGTGGGCACAGCTCTATGTTTAAAAAATATATATTTATATATATTATACATAATTAGTAAAAATTATATATTTATATATAATATTTGTTTTTTGAAAATTTATTATTTATAAAATATGAAATTTATTTTTTTTTTGGCTTTTTATTTTATTTTAATGTAATCTTTTATCAGACTAAAATTTTCTCTATATTTTTTATAAAACGTTTAATTTTATTTTTAATAGGGAATATTTATACCCTGAAGAAGGTATATTAAGTTTGGCCCGAATTTTGTAATACCCAGTATGAAATCCTATAAAATATATGCGTAAATGAACACCGTGACTAGCTAAGTCAAATTAGGTTTTTTTTTTACAGTAGGGGGAAGCATCGAAAGCCGATGTGCGGAACTTTAATCCGCTAAACCTAACCTACTCCCAACCCAAATCTCTCCCACGGAACCACTGGACAAAGTATTGCTTCATGGGAGAGAAGAAGACATTTAAGTCTCCTCTACGGTACGGACTAACTGACTCCTATTCTGTTGTAAGTGTCTCAATCTTGTCACTATCAAAGCTGACGCTTCGCTGACTGCTTTCCATTTAATAGAGGATTTTCCACCGAGAAACTACCGCCAAGTGTGGTTTTCAGATCGATTTAGGTATATCCGTTTGTCTGTACGTCTGACGTCCGTATATACGCGCACTAGTCCCTCCGTATTTCAGAGATTAATCTGAAATTGTGTACACGCGTTTTTCTCTCCAAGAAGCTGTTTATTTGTTGTGCACAAGCGAATATCGCACCTCTATAGCATAAAGCCGCCAAACAAACTGAACGGTAGAAACCAAGTTCCTATATCGAAAAAACTCTTTTATTTGACAAGATAACTTCACGATATTTGGCATGGGTTAATTTCCAAAGCAACGCCATAATTTTTAAAGAAACTGTTCAGATCGTACCACTATAGCATATAACTGCCATACAAACCAAACGATCAAAATCTAAATCAAGTTCTTGTATGGAAACAGTTTTATTTGTGAAGGGTATTATGATTTCGGTGCAACTGAAGTTAATGTTTTTGCATGTTTTTGTAAAATTTTACTTTACATTTCAATAAATAGCTAAAAATATTTCAAGCATATTTAAAGCAGAGTTCTTAAAATTTAATTTTGAAAGCCAAAATCATGTGTGCATAAGCTTTCACGCTACCGTAACTTCAAAGGAATATATTTTCTATAAAAACTAACTAAGCACAGCACATATTCAACTACACACATATATCACAGCACAAGTACGGTACTTTATTGTTATTTGAAAAGCAAGCATTAAATCCGCTTATAATTTTCTTTTACCTTTCGAAGAGCACACATAAATAGTGGATGACAAGTGAAATGGTGAGCATATGTATTTGAAAAGGCATTTATGCGTATTTATGTAGGTGCATTTGCCAACAATTCTATTTTATTTCATATATGTATAGTTTTTGTTTTGAGAATGAACATTCATCAATGCGTGGGTGCGCCTTGAAGTATGCAATACAAAGCATATAGCAAAATGTTCGAGCACATTGTGCTTATATGATAGACATACATGTGTGTGTATATGTGTGCTTATGTAAGCTCACATATACATGGCTGTGTGTATATATGTAACATACAGTTATATTTCATCTCGCGTATAATCATGCAAACACTCCATACACACATACATACTCGAAAAATTACAAGCTTACAGCCATTACCAGTAGTGACATTGCTGCAGCTGGGTGTGGCAGCATGAAATATTATTATTATTTATTTTTAAGTAAATATCAAAATAATTGCATACTGAGTGCTTTTGTATTTCATATTTGTAAGCCGCTTATTTATGTATGTGTGCACAAAAAGGCGCGTATGTGTGCCACACATAAGCTGGCATGCACGCATATATACACACATACACAAATGTGTAGCAATTATTGTAACGACTCTCACGCCGACGCTAGCTCATGCTGGGACCAACAATTGTGCCGCATCGCACTCCCTTCCTCAGGCGCAGCAACTATGTATATGGTGTTGCCGCTTTGAAATCGAATAGAAATAAATGATTACGAAGTGATGTCTTCAGTTTGCATTCGTTAGCAGTTTGTATACTTGTGTATCAGGCCGCTCCTACGGTAATTGCATACGCACACACGTCTCTACAGTTTCGTATGCGTTGGTTGGCACGCCTGCCTCACACATTAGTGTTGTCTATTAATTAGCATAATAATAGCATAGCGCACGGCGCATGTTGCAACTTGACACTCACACCCACTTGCACATATGCAGCCATACCCTGTCACGAAATTCTGCGTAATTGCAAGTCGTCCCTATAGAAATTTTTGCAAATCAATAGCAAAATTTGCAGCAGCGCCTTTTTGCACACTACACACACAAACAAAGGCGTGCCTATATGTACATGTGTATGTGTGTGTGCATGCCTGCATTTCAGTTATAATTATGCTATTCAATTTACTGACATAACTGTCATAGGTGTCAGAGCTATTTGTTGTTGTTGTTGTTGGTGTTATTTTCATTTCATTGTTGTGTTGTAATTAAAAGAGGCTATTGTATTGCCAAAGGATTTTACAATACGCATTAATCAATGTGACAATGATATTAAGTTGCTATGATTTCTGGTTATTTTTTATTTAATGCGCTACATTTAAGCCTCACACTGACAACGCAGCGTTGTGTAGAACTTGAGTTGCTTAATTTAGTATTTAAGCGTAGTGTGCGCAAAAAAATATTGAGTGCAATATTTTTCGTTTAAAAATATTCTTCAGCGAAATCAATTAATGGATCACAGTCCACGAAAGTACACGCTCAATGTCTTAAAATTTCTTTGAAATGCTTTAAAAAAGCTTTGAAATTTTAAATATTTAACAGTAATGTCACGATTTAAAAAAAAAAATTCAAAAAATTTAAAACCTGCAGAAAGTACAGTGTTGACATCTTACAAAAAGTTAAAGCGTTCTAAAGGTGCTTTTAAAACAATACATGTAAAAAAAACTATTTTCAAATAGCTAATGAAAAGCTCTTTTGACAGTTAACAAATATTAAAAATATATTCAACATGTTTTAAAAATCTTTTCAAACTCAAATATATGGTGTAATAGAGTTGTCACAATAAATGATTTTGCAAACTTTTACCACAAAGCTTATTTGTTGATCTTTTAAATTTCACTAACTATAAACTGGCAAAGATTTCAGAAAGTAAAATCTTTGCAACGCGATTAACAGGAATCAACGTTCGTAAAGCGCTTTTAGAACCAAATACAATACATTAAAAAATTCTTAAAAATACAAATTTTCAACTAACTGCCAAAAAGCTCTCAGTTTTTGACAGATAACAAATATTATTTTAAAAATAAAAATTGTAAAGTGATTATAATGATAGAATAATAAGAAAATTGTTTATTCATTTACAGCTATCTAATGAAAAGCTCTTTTAAGCTTTTGAACAGCTGTTACAGTGAAGATTTCCGTAAAAGTCGTAGAGTCATAAAATATTAAAGCGCATCACATCCAAAGTTTATAAATGTATTAGGTTCTCTACTTTAGCCAATCGTAAAATTTCTTTCAAATATTATACATGTGAAAGCTTTCCGGTTTGAAGCTTTCTGTAAAAGTGGCCAGACGTAAAATGAGTAAGCACATTACTTTTGCAGCATATAAACGTGAAAACTTTGCACTAACGTGGAAATGGTGAAAGCTTCTAATTGTGAAAGCTTGCCAAATAGTGTGGTATGTTTTTCGTTTTTCGTAGCTATCAAACAGTTAAACGGTTAGCAAAAGTCACAACACTATCTAGAAAAAAAGGCAAAACAATTCTTCAACTCATTAAAGCTTTAGCAAAAATTTAATTACGCAAAGTCGTTTCGCCTTAAATGAAACTAGATTAAAATCGTGCTGTCGTCATGCAACTACCGTCAGTAATCAGCGAGTGTGCTTTATAGCAGCTGCCACCCGCCGCACTTTAATCGGCTCGAAATCGACTTAAGAGTACCTTTTATTTATTTCCTTTTATACTTTTTATATAATACTACATTATATGATTGTCAGCTTTTATACTGGCGTCTGTACTCGTATGCGTGTGCTTTAACTACCAATACCTATATGTATTATATAAGCGTACGCTTCACATTTTCAAGCTTTGCTCTTATTTTCTGCTTTCATTTTATTTACATGTGATCGCGCCACAGGGTGCTTCCTCCAGTCTTGTTGTGAAATTTGCCGATACTGAGAAGGAGCGACAGATACGACGTATGCAACAAATGGCGGGTCATATGAATTTACTTAATCCCTTTGTCTTTAATCAATTTGGACCATATGGAGCTTATGCGCAGGTAAGTACGCAACGCAAATACACACACACACACACATAGACACATATGTATATGCAATAAAAGCGGGCAAGCCAATAAGCGCAATGCAATAATAATTAAACAACAACAATATAAAGCATGCAAACATGCCGCGCACAGAATGGAGATAATGTAAAAGAGTTGCGTAAATAAAAACATAAAATCGCAAAAACAAAGAGCGAGAAAAAATCACCAAAAGTTATGCGGCAATAAAAAATCTTTGCAAAATACAATGCAGAGTAATTGATTTCGTTTGCGTTGCTGTTGTTGTTGTGTGCATTGTTTTGCACTTACTGTTATTGTTAATGTCACTTGCTTTTTGTTTGCGTGCCGTTTATTGTCGCTGTTGTTGTTATGGTACGCATAAAATGTCAAAACAAAAGGCGCTGCGTTTTATTGCGCACACACACTCGTGCAGTCTGTGGGTGCGCAAATGAAAACAATGCAAAAAGCCGTTCAATAATGGCTACAACAGCAAGCAGAACAACAGTCGCAAGTTCAGTAGAAATCAGCGTCACGTAAAGTGCATTAAATAACGGCGACATTGGTGTTGATGTTGGTCGGCAGCGCATTGCATGCACTATTCGGCGCTTTTAGTAGCCACGCTGCCCCCTTGCACGTTTCCCATCGTAAATTGTACACTTTTATTGCTACTTTTGTTGCAAAACCAATTTAACTGCAACTACTAGCAACGTGCAGCCTCGTTACCATGAATGTTGCACGTTCAGCGCCATCACCACTTCCCATCCCCCACTTCATCACACTTTTGCATACCGCTAACCACTTCCGTCGTGCGCTGCACATTAACACAACGCCCTCCCTCTCTCTCTTTCTCTTTGGTGACCGCCAATTGCTTGCCTTATTTATGCGCACAACTTCATCATCTGCATACTTTAGCATTTCCGTTTCTCATCCATTCACTCATTTCATTTATTGTTGCTGGCTTTATTTTCTTTTTTTCCGCTTTCATTTTAATGCATTGTATCTTACATAACGTGCTTTTTATACTTCTACTTCTTCCTCGCCTTCTTTATTACAACTATAGCAACAGCAAGCCGCTTTAATGGCCGCCGCTGCCACTGCACCCGGCTCATATATGAATCCGATGGCCGCGTTGGCAACGCAAATACCTCATGGCTTAAATGGCACCGGTCAGCCATCGCTGCCCTCACCGACCATGCCCAATTTCAATATGGGCGCTCAAACGCCAAATGGACAACCCGCTGCTGCAGCGGCCGCAGCAGCTGCCGCCGCCGCTGATGGCGTCTTTACGAATGGCATTCCGCAGACGGCATTCCCGGGACGTAAGTAACACATAAAAGTTCATATAACTCTAGAGCACATATACATACTCAATATTTTTATCACTACAAGCAAATATTTACATGAAGATGCTTAAAATTACATAAATAAACTACCAAAGCTTTGGGTAAATAAAACGCATAATAGGGTATATAGACCGTAGTAAAGATTTTCAAATTAAGGTTTTAAGAAATAAGTAATAATTCACATAAACTGATTAAGTCATGGAAGTCATATACAGAGTAATCTATTTTCGGTTTGCTCTTTTCATTGATGAAACACTGTAATGCCTGATCTGTTCACTTAAATTTTAGTTTCTATTCAACAGTAGAATTCTATTCTATAGTATATTAAGTTTGCCACGATGTTTGTAACACCCATAAGAAAACGTCAGAGGCCATATATGTATGTCCGACTGTCTATGTATTTGAGAACTAGTCTCTCAGTTTTTGAGACATCGTCCTTTTCTCAGCAATTGTGCTGCTCATTTGTGGAATGGACGATAGTGGACCACTATAGCATATAGCAGCCATAAAAACTTGTATGAAAAACTTTTCCACTTGACGATATATATTCAAGAAATTTGGCACAAGTTATTGCTTAAGGCAATTATTCAATCTTCGAAGAAATTGTTCAGTTCGAACCATTATAGCATATAGCTGCCATATATACTGACCGATCAAAGTTCTTGTAAGGAAACTTATGTATTTGTAAAGGGTATTATTAGCTAGGTTAAAACTGAAGGTAACATTTTTTCTGGTTTAATAAATTTTTTAATTTAATTTCAAATATTTCATCTCTTTTAACAAAGCTTTCGAGCTTACTTAGACCTTTAAACTAGAGCTTTCAAACTTTTGTGCTTTCACTGAGCTTTGAGCTTTCCAAATAATATTAAATTATGAAGAGATTGGCACTTCTATTTGGAGAATTAAATTACGCACTTTCAGCAGCTCTGCCTTTAGCCCACAAAAATTTTCGTTGAGTTAAGTTCCAGTTTTTAATTTAACAAAACAACATAATTGTTATAGATATTTGTTGAATTATGAATATGTTCATTTTTTAATACACACTTTTCTATCGATTAAAGTTCGATTATTTCATTCTCTTACCATAGATCCACTCCATTTAACGATTCCACCACAAGGTCTGCCAAATGGTGATGCTGCCGCCTTACAGCATGCCTTCACTGGAATGCCACCATTTCCAGGAGTTGGTAAGTACAAACAGTCATAGTGACAAGAAAAAAGCTCCAAATAAGCTTGAGCAAGTTTTGGATTAATTATGATTTGGTTATTATGCATTATTAAAGCTATGATAAAATAATATTTAGTTAGGAACAAAAAATATCGTTATAAGTTTATAATTTCTACAACAATAAATGCAACTGATTAGCTTTCTTATTATATATGAAATTAGGGTATATTCTTTAAGGTTATTTTATAGTATATACTTTTTATAAGTTTACCATTTCAAACGTCATAGTTAATTTAAGTTCTCGTCCATCACTCCATTATCAATTATTCTGCAAAACATTTTTAGCTGTTATAATTTTATTTTTATTTTTTTAATTTGTTCTACTGTGTACAATGCGTTGCATATCACTCGTTTCAGTTTGGTTTTCATTTTTCAAATTTCATTTTACAGGGTATTTTTTGGAAACTTAAAAATTTTTGTGAGTTTTCGCTCTTGTTGTTATTATGAAATTCATTAATGGATTTATTTCTTATGTAATTGTGACAGTCACACTCATACCTCGTTCTCTATTTCATTGTTATTTGATTGTTGTGTCATGAAATAAACAATTATATAAATATATATTATATTAATTGTTAGCTCAGAGCAATATTTATTAAAACTATATAGTTGTTCAAAGTCGGCATAAATTGACCTTTCGTTCATTGTTAGTAATTATATTTTACGATTTATTTATGATTTATTTTAATGCGCAATAATGCAATTAAAGTTGGTACTAAGGCGTGGAGGGTATTAAAAAAATTAACACAATTGCAAACTAAGTATTAAATTGCTATTAAAAGAATTTATAATATAAAAAAAAATATATATTTAACTTATTTTTTTTTTAAATTAATTTTTAATATTTTTTTCATTTTTATATAATATATACATATAATATATTCCTTCCACGCCTTGTCATACGCCATACATATAATATGGCATTCAATATTTTGTCACTCGTAATTTTCATTTTAAGTGTTAATTATTGCCAACTACCAACTATTTGTAATTCATAATTGTTTCAATTACTGTAATTTTTTATGTTTAATTTAATGTAAAGAACATTTCGATATTGCTGTTAAGTGTTTAATGGTTTAACAATATCATTGCGAAAAGGCGAAAAGTAATGGGCAACAAAAATAACAGTCTCAGAACTTATGTATTGGGTAATTTATTAAAAAAGCGGAACAGAAAAATATTACTTTTTAAAGAAAATAACTCGCTTTAGTTCGAATTTTTTTCAATTCGAAAAATTCTGTGTGGCAGCGAACAACCTGAATACTTACTAACGTATAAAAAAAATTATCAAAATTCCAAACTTGCCTGTTTTTTCATGTCCTAAAACAAGCTTCCATATCTGAGCTTTCACCTGTTAAACATTTCACTCCCTCTGCGAATATAATGATATGAGATGATAATGACATTTAGGTAGGTGTTCTAAGAAACCTACAAAAAAGTGAAGCCATGAGAGCTTAGAACTTTCACTTTTTAATTTTAATGACTTTTATATCAAAAGCTTGTAGAACATGTAATACTTTTGTTACATTGAAGCAATCTTTAAGAAGAGCTATAAAAATCAAGAAAGCTTGGAACTTTCACTATGTAATTTTACTGAGCTTTGTATTAAAATTTTGTAAAGTATGTGATACTTTCATTAGATTGAAGAAAGCTTTTCAAGAGAGCTATAAAAAAGTAAATCAAGAGAGCTTAGAACTTTCACTAGTGAAAGTGTAGAAAGTGAAACAAGAGAGCTTAGCGCTTTCAGTATTTAGTTATAAAAAGCTTTATTTCATAAGTTTTCAAAAATTGGTAAGCTTTATTTAAAAATCTATCAAAATTTTTACCCGCAGATCCTTTAAACACTTTATAAATTTAAATGAAATACCTTTTTATAAAAATACGTTGAAAAAGCAGATAAAACTTTTACCCCTCTACATTTTTAATTAAATGAAAAAATATGATAAATTCTCAATATCCGCACATATGTCTTGCATAAGCTGTGACTCTTGTTTTTACTCGCCATTTATGTATTAACCAACCTTTCGCACACGTATAAATATAATTATTATGAGCAAATTAAAAATAATATCAGTATAAATTATAATATATTTTTTTGGTCGTTATTACCGTATCTACTATACAACAATGTTTATTAATATATATTTATATATGGTTGCCAAGACGTATATAAATATTGTTCGAAATAATTAACTTTGATTTTTATATTGTGTAATTTCAATGTGTTCTCTATACTTTTTCCGTTCTTTTTTTCATTTATTTCGTTTAATTTTTTCAACTTCCAATTACATATTGAACATTATATAAACGTTGTGTTGTCTCATAAATGTTTCGATTACTCTATATTTATCTATATCTATCTATATATATATATATGTATGTGTACAAAACGCAAAAACCAAAAAAACAAACAACAAACCAACAACAAAAATTATTTATATAATGCAGCCTTTCCCGCCGTTTATGGACAATTTCCACAAGCTTTACCACCACCTCTAGCGGCGGTTGCACCCACTCAGCGTGAAGGTAAGCAGTTTTTAAATGTACATGTTCTTTGTTTGTGTATTTCTTTTTTCATTTCTTAAATGTTTATATTTTTTTCTAGTAAAGTTATGTAGCTTTATTATTTTCAATTATTTCATTTAATCACATATAACAGTAATTCGTTAAAAACAACTGATTTGTGTGCTGTAATATTTATTGGTTGAAAAATTTGTATGAAAATAAAATCATTGTAGAAAAAAGTCACAAGCCGTTTAGTTTTTGTGTTTGTTAATATTTTCAACTCATTTAATTCATGATTTTTTTTGTTTTTGTTTAATATTAACTTTTTTTCTGTTAATTTTCTTTATAATTACCTGCGTGCTATTTTGTGATTTGTGAGCTTTGCTATATGGGGATTAACTATTTTGTAATGAATTGTAGATAATTGTTAATATATGTATATGTAATTATTTAATTACGAATAAAAGCTGTTTTATAATAATATAAATATATAATTTTTTTTAATCATATTAATGTAGAAATGTACTTGTATGTATGTAAATATAAGTGTATAGTTTTTTATATATTATATATACTGAAAAAAGTTATAAGCATTAAGCTCATCATCACATAAGTGTCCAGTTTTTACGATGCAGATGAAAAATGAATTATTTTTTAAATTTTTAATATGAAAATATATGTATGTACTCGTATATGCTTTCATATAAATTTCACAATCTTTTATATATACAAGATATATTTAAATTTTAGTTAAGAATAAGACACACATGTTCGCAGCCATACTTACATACAATATACATACATATACTACACCTACAAACAAAATATCCGTAATAGCAATATTCTATTCACCTTTCATCGTATATTATCCTTGTGTTGTACATATTGCATGTGTTTGCTTCTATTACAAGTTATGCTGCCATTCGCTTTTAGTATTTTATTTAATTCCCCAATGTATGTATAACTATTGTATTGGACAAGATCATATAAACATACATTCTAAAATGGATTTGAGTTTGAAGTATTAAAATTACAAAAGAATGGATGACAACTGCATTGCTAGAAACAAAATGTTCTTTAGAGGCTGGTAGAGCTTTTGTTAAAAGCATTTCATAGACGTACCAAAATATTGTAAATGTATTGTAAATATTTCAAAGCGCTTTATAAAAGCTTGGTTGAATTATTAATTTGTTTTAGGCAAACTTTTTTCACTAAGCAAATATTTTAGTTTATTTTACGTCAGTTTTCTTTTTTTTTATTAATAAACGTATACAAGTACAACACACGTATGCAACACTGCATTTAAGTAAACAAAACTTTTAAGTTTACGCATTTATATTGCTGCATTTCTTCTTTCACAACTTGAGTAGCACTGCTGCTGTCCAATTGGCTGTACGGTATAATAAAAAGCATATATTGTAAAAAGTTTACGTTTACGGATGTGAAAGCTTTGGTGATATTTTGAAAGTATTTTAGAAAGACATACTGATATTTCTACATATTTGTTTTAAATTTAGTAAATTTAGCATAAAATGAATATTATATCTACTTCTTTTATCACGTTAATTTTTCATTCAAGCTTTTAGTGAAAGCTCCAATCAATTTTTGCGCTTTTTCGCAAAAGCTCATGGGCTTTTTTAAAAATTTGAATTTAACTAATATAATATTTTAACAAGCGTAAATGACATCTTTCCAAAAAATTTATTATAAATAGCTTTTTTGCAAAAAACAAACTTTAGTACCACTTTTTTCCAATTTAATCACAATTTTTTACAATCTATTTTACAATCAACATTATTTTTTAAAATCTTGAAAGTATTTCAAAATTACTTTTTCACTGCAATCTTAATCTTTCACAATCAATCTTAAAATTAAATTTGTTTTATAATGTCTTGACAGTAGGTAATTTATTCGAAATAAAAATTATTTCTCTTGAGCTTTCGTTCAAGCTTTCACAACTAGCACTGCGTAGCACAGAATACGCACTATAGTTGATGCTTAAAGCTTTCTAGCACAATACTGCTTCCAACAAATGTTTAATGCATATTAACACTTTATTCTTACTTTCTTATTATTTATCTTCTACTTATTATTTTCTTATTGTAACTATATTCTTACGTTTTATCAATAAAATATCTCGATTCTTTTTACGCATATATACTCTATATGTATGTATAAAGGTTATATTTTCTTAATATAAATTTGTACCAGATAGCAGGGAAATCGTAATTTCATATTATACTCATATACACTTACATATGTAATATTACGGATATTCGATTATTCAGAATTTTGGTTTAATTGCATTTTATGTTTATTTCGTCTGATCTGTTTTCAATTTAAGTCGCAGCATCACAAATCACAAATTCATAGATTTTTCACTTTTGATTTTCTCATCGTTTATTTCTTTCTTTCTTTTCTTTTCTTGTAATGTCTTCTTTAAGATTTTCTGATGTTCCCAGGATGTTCGATTTCGGGGCCGGAGGGTTGTAATCTATTCATATATCATTTGCCGCAAGAATTCGGCGATGCGGAATTGATGCAGATGTTCCTGCCATTTGGTAATGTGATCAGTTCAAAGGTCTTCATTGATCGCGCTACAAATCAGAGTAAATGTTTTGGTAAGCACCATACACACAAAACACAAATCTGTGATTTTAATTTTTTTATCTTTACTGATTGTATAACACACTTTCTTCATAGGTTTTGTTTCATTCGATAATCCTGCCAGCGCTCAAGCGGCCATTCAGGCTATGAATGGTTTCCAGATTGGCATGAAAAGACTGAAAGTTCAACTGAAGCGGCCAAAGGATGCCAGCCGACCCTATTAACAATCGGAGTTCCTTAAAGCGTTAAACAACATTAACAATTACAAACGATTACTTCTTTTGAAAATAATGTTGAAACAGTAATTCCAAGAGCAACCAAAAAATATACACAAATATATAACAAAAAAAAATCTATTACCAAATAGAACAAAAAAAAAATGAAACAAAACTAAAAGTAAAAGCGCAGCAAGTAAACCTCTACATACAACAACAGTCAGCAGCAGAAACAACTAGCAGCAAAAGAAAGAAAAATTCGCAGTAATGTAGTCAATAGATTCCAATTAACTGAATACAAATTCTGATCCTGCAAAATAAATTCACCAAGCAACATATGTGCAAGTTTACAATAATTAATATCCCAGTGAAAGCCGATAGAAAACAAGCAACGTGCAAAATTTACTCGGTAAGTGATGAAAAAACGTTCATTATTTAAAATTATTCGTTAGTAAAAACCGGTAGTAATTGAAATTTAAATTCAAAACATTAACACCAAAAGCATATCTTATGCCTGCACTGACACTGCACCGTTAAAAAGAAACTAACGGTAATATAGCGCTAATGATATTATGAATATTGAATGAAGAGTTTCTATTTACGTCAAAAGCTGAACTTGAGTAAAGATTTTTACTCAGAAAGCTTTCACCTAATGTGCTACAAAAATCTACTATTTATGACAAGAGCTGAGGTTAACCTGACTAAAGATTTTTACTCATAAAGCTTTCACTTTAAGAGTTACAAAAGGCTTTTATTATAATCAATAAAAAGCTTTCACCTTATAAGTTACAAAAAGCTTTCATTACAATCTACAGAAAGCTTTCAGCTAATGAGCTACAAAACGCTTTCGTTACAAGCTGCAGAAAGCTTTAACCTAATAAGCTACAAAACGCTTTAATTACAAGTAAAGCAAACTAGCACATTACTTTAGTGATGTTTTTAGCGCTCTCATGAACACAAAAAGTTTACAAGCGAAAATATTTACATCGTTATATTTTACTATTCTTATTTTAGATCAAAGAACAGTTTATCAACAAAATCCATGCCACTAAACCAGTTAAAATGTCTTACCCGATGATGTAAATCCAGCTTCCTATCAACTAACCAGGCAAACCGATCCAAAACCACATACAAGCTTTTACCAAAGCTCAACAACAAACGCGAGCAAATAAGCTTACAAATGGAATTAAATTTTTTTCGAAACGTCAATGAAAAACAACATGCCGATAAAGTGTGCAATAAATAATGTTATTAAAAATTTAAACAAAAATAATATACATAAATATATTTATGTATATGCAAAAATGCAAAAAAAAAAAATAATATATATTATTATTATCACAAAATTTAGAAGAACTGAAATACCGCTAACGAAAATGCGTGTACGAGTAGAAAATAGCGAATAATGTGGATGTCAAAGAGAAGTTGAACAATTTTTGCCAAACCAAAAACAAAATTAAGCATACAAAAAATAATATGGTAGTTATATATACAACACACGCATATACATTATACACACATATATCTATATATATATACATACATATATATAAATATATTTATTAATTAACTTTATCGCAAGGCAAAACAACCGTATAAGCAAAACAAAACAAAACCCAAAAACAAAAAAACAAGTAAATTTGACTATTATTAAACAAAATATAGATTTCTTTACATTTCAAAAGCATACATTTGAAAGTTTACTAATCATTTTTTATGCACACGATCACACTTTAGAGTTCGATATACCATTCAACTACCAAACACTTCGCATACATATGTACCATATATACATATATATATTATAACATACATAACTACAACAATAGTTGGATAAATTAACTAATCAATTACTTAATTACCACTACAATTAATATTATCACACAAATACAACAACAACTACAAAACAAAGCTGACTGCAAAATATGAATAAAGAACCGAAAAAACTGAACTGTTCTGGGTTTTCAAAATACAAAAACAAATATAGACAAAAACTGCATCAATAAAAATTAGAGCAAATACCAAGTACTTAAAATAAAAACTAAAAAGAAATACAAACAAATAATAATTTTTATACAAAATATAAAATTAAAAAAATCTAAAAAAAAAAAATAATATAATTATATACTTCATTGAAATAATGCAAATAATCGCATACAAAATAAAAATAATGCGTAAAGATACATTATTAGTAAAAACAAAATGAATCATAATGGGAATTTATTAAACTTAGCGAACAAACCAAAAACTTAGTAAAGATACCATAAAAATTAGCATGCCAACGTGCGCAAATAAGAACTAAATAAATAATAATTATTTAAAATTTATTACCAAATACAAATAGTTTGAAAATAATGCGAAGCAAGTAGTGAAAATCATACAATATATAAGCATGCGCGAATTTGTAGCAAGACGAGCAAGTATATTAGAGAAGTAGTAGAGAACATCGGGAAAAATTGGGAAATATTTTTTCCACAGTTTGTAATAAGAAAACAAAAAACAAAAAAAAGTTCCAAAAACCGTTGAGATTACAAGCCTTAAAGTTCCACAATATCAATTAAATTACACAGAAGAACTAAACACAAAATAAGATACAAAGATTTGGCAATATATAATAGGTATGTATGTAAATGCTAAAGCAGGGCTAAACGCGAGTGGAGAGTTAGAGAAATAAACGCTAAAACAACTCGAAATGGTTTGAAAGAGATAAATAACTACAACAATGCGAGGACTCACAACTAAGAGAGCTAAGAGATAACAAACGTTTATAAGAGCAAACAGAGAGGTACAAATGTGAGAGAGCAGAGATCATAGCAACAGAATAAAAGCTTGAAAAGAGGTATGAAAGAAAAGGAGAAATATTAGAATTGAATAAGAAATTTCTTAAAACTGTATAGCAGAAGACAACGGATTTGATCTTAACTACGAGTACACATAAGCTTATCGGAATTTATTATGTAGAGGTTCTCAAATTAGTGTGAAACATTGTATGCTTTCAAAATGAAGCTTTAAGCGGCTGAAGAAAAGCGCATTCTGCTAGTAAATCATTGTACCGCACAAGTCAAAGCGGAATTTGTAAGTTATCTTACAATATTTTGAATAGCATTGATCTCGGTAAATTTCGGTTAAAATACAAGTTATCGAAGGTTAATATAGCCTATGAGCTTACCACGAAGTGTTTAATTTTTTTCTCAGCCTTCATATATGAAATGATGATCACGTAGTAACAAATGAAGAAGATTTTTTTCGTTTTTTATCTCAAAAAAAACAAAAAAAAACGTCAAGCATGCCTCTCTTGACAGTGGAATGACTCTTCATATAGTAGCCCTGTAGTATTATTTATGCATATACATATACATGCATACATACAAAGCTGAAATCTGCAGACATAATTAAACGCTTTTTGATACATACATACATACACACGAAAACGAAACCGATTTGAAAATTGTTTGAGCAAACAAGCATCAACATACATACATTAATACTTATATACAGATACCTACTACAAAACACATACATATGTATTAGGGTGGGCAAGGACGGTCAGTAACCGCGCAAAAATTGATTTAGAAATTATTACAAAACAAAGAAATAAACAAATATATATATAAAAAAAAATGAATTAAATTTGTTGAAGTTAATGTTGAACTTTTGCAACATATAAATAAAACAGCTATATAGAGCGATATAATGAGAACCGAGTTTAAAGTGAATTAGGTTAGTGGTTTGCGATTAATAAAGCAAAGTGGCGGCACATACAAGAGGGTAGTATGATGAATAGTAGTTCATTGGGTAGTGTTGGGAACTATGTTGGAGCAGAGAAGAAAGGAACTTTTTAGCATTTTAGCTCTTAAGCAACAGAAAAAGCGAAGTATAATTGAAAATCTAACACAAAAATTCGAATTTAATTAATATTTAAGTAAAAAAAAAAAACAAAAAAATCAACAAATAAATAATAAACAAAAATAATAATTTAAAAAAAAATATATATAACAACTATTATTATTATTATTATTATTGAAAGTAAGAAAGTGCAGTGATGATGATAGTTGGGGGAAATATTTAGCAATTAGTTTTAATGTAAATGAGGCAGAGTAGTTACAACAGCGGCGAACTAAATAATATATGAAATATTTAGGAACTTATGCCACAAATAAATAAATAATATTAATATGTAGGCGTATTAAAACCATGCGTTTTTTAGCTATAATTATTGTTATTACAAACAGATTTTTTTTTTGTGATTTATTATTTGCGCCATATTTCAATATTAATTTCAATTTCTGTTATTGCGAGTTTTTTTTACATTAATTTTTTTAAAGTTTTTTTATTAATTTTTCAAGCACTTACATTTAATACAGAATTTCATTTAAATTTCTTAATTTACTTTAAAATAATTTTTTAGAAACAAATAGTTTTCATTAAAATTGTATAAAATTAAATTTAAAAAAATGTGTTTATTTAATTATTTAGGCGTTATATGCATCAAATTCAGACCAAACATATTTTTTATATTACGCAATTTTAAATAAATATATTCACTTTAAATACAAATAACTTCAATATTAAAATTCAAAAAAAAAATAATCAATAATTTAATTTTTCGAAATGTTTCTAGTTTTTTAATTATTTTACTGCACATAACTAAGCTAATTTTTTTAATATTTAAATTTAAATTTTTCGTTTTAAAATTGTGTTGCAAATTTTTTTAATTACTATTTTTTGTTCTATATTTTAGATTTTTGTTATATTTTAAATTTTTTTTTTTTTTAATTTTAATACATTGAAAAAAATTTGTTTAAACCTCCTATTTGCGATTACTCAATTACTTATAAACTTACAAACCGAGGCTTTCAACTAATACTTAATTAAATAACCACACAATGCAAATATAATATTTTTTGCAATTTTAGCGAAATCAATTAATTATCATCACAATACGTGAAGACTCTATGCAAAAATTGCTGTTCAAAAACAAACAAATATCGAAATGAAAACACAGCTAACAGCAGCAAACTATTTAATCTATTTAGTAAAAAAAAACACAAATACAGGTAATTTCTATATGAAAATAAGAAACAAATGCTTATTACAAGTATATATAAATTTAGAAAAGCGACATA